TGGATAAAAACCTTAATGTGGGAAAGAGACCATAAGTTGCTGCCAACATCAAGAAAAAAGATTGCTAAAGTTTGTTATGTCATGTCGTTTTGACATTTGCTATTGATAATTTGACAAATGGAAATAATTAAATAAAATTTTCACAATTTCATGCGGATGAAGCCGCACGGGAACAGCCAGTTAATAAAATATCATCTTTTAAAAGAAAAATATTTTATTACAATACCATTTTAGTTATGAAATTTTAGGACAGTAAATCTTGAATTCGCGTTTGTTTCAGAAGTAGAAGGTACAGAATTCATTAATAATTTAATGGAGTCGCGCCCCAAACGCCAATCTCCTTTTGTATAAGAAACATAGCCGCCTATCTGTCAGCATTGTAAAGAAAGATTTACGAGTGTGGCGATCGGAAAACGTTCCGACACCGGCAACGGAAACTCGGCCTTTGCTAACGTATACGTAGAACCATACTCAATACTCATTTAATAGCTACTTGCGTCTCTAAATCTGTAGAGTTTTTTATTATTTTTCACTGGCGCGCCCGCTACTCCTTTATAAAAGCCACGGCAATTGTCGCATGGTATGCCGCAAAGAGGTAAAAGTCGTTTAATACTTTTTAGCTGAGATTTAATTTGGTAAACTAATAATACCGAAAGAGCATTATTTCCGTTAAAAAGACGTTTTGAATTGTCAATGTAAGTTATAGCGCTGACACAATTTATCTTAAGGAATAGGATTTATTCGATTGTATGCTAAAATAATACTGTAGCTTTTAAACATTGCGTTAAAAGTCCGTACTTCAATTTACGCTTTTGTTAAATTGATTGAAGTTATTTTTTGTGGGGAAAAAAGTTTTTCATGTTTTATGAATCATGATTTTTATTAACGACTACTGTTTGAACTTTACTTTGTTTTTCTAACCTAGACGGATTAAAAATATCTAAAACTAGCTGTTCCAGTGCGACTTCATCTGCATAAAATTATATTTTATTGTTTACATGTGTCAAATTATCAATTCCAAATGTCAAAATGACATGACATGATGACAAACCATGGCAACTTTGCTTTCTTAATGTTGGCAGCAACTTAGTGTTTTTATCCAAAATATTAACCCCCTAAGTTTAATGGCGTGAAAATATACATATAGCCTAAAGCCTACTTACGGCACAAGTGTAGGACTTTTTATTAATAAAAATAATTATTCAAAAATGTTCTTAAATTGCTGACATCTTAGGCAGCAAAAAGTTTGTGTTTACTCTTTAACTATTATAGTATAGATTGAGATAGTATTATCTAAGGACTCCAGAGATGAATCATTTCCTAAAAAATATTAATACATTTTTCTACGTTGTTTTTATAAAGTACGGACTTTCTCGACTTAACATATTTTAACACAGTACTTGTTAAACACCTTCTTAACTGTGTTGCTAGCTTGCATCGTACATTGGACTAATCTGCAGTCGCTTACACCTGTTAAACCTTCAAATCTACTTATGTAAATCCAGTAAACATACTATCATACTAATAACATACTATCATACTAATATTATAAATGCGAAAGTTTAAATGGATGGATGTTTGTTAGAGTTTGTAGCCTAAATCGGCTGAACGGATATCGATGAAATTTGGTATAGACATAGAGAATAGTCTGGAAGAACACATGGGCTAATTACTTATGTTTTTTTGAAAGCCACGCGGACGAAGTCGCAGGCGAAAGCTAGTACCTTTATAAGACTTTGTGTAACTTTAAGAGCTTCCTTTTGTCTAATACAAAGCAAAATATTTAAAGAAACTACAATTTGCTTCTAAATTTTTTGATACTAAAGGTATTTTCGGACTTCTGATATCCGGGATTTTTCAAGTTTGAAGTGAGAAGTCTAAATTGTTCTTTAATGTATTAATTTTGAAAATAATTCACTTATTTCTGCCGCCGCTTGACCCATATTTGGTGACTTTGGCGCAAGTCGCCAGCGAGATTTCATGCTCCGGTTAATTTTTGATTTACTTCGCAAACGCTCGAAGGCTTCTGTATTGTTACTTATAGTTGTAATATTTATCTAAAGTTTATTTTACAGAATATTTTGTGAACATTTCTTAATTCTGATATAAAAAAATCGAAATAAGGGCAGCTATTTGAATTACGAATGTCTTTTTTGCTTACGATTATTTTTTTCTGGGTTAAGTGTTGTTTAAATTCTATGTTAAATACACTTAAATATTCGTAATTAGTTGTTCTTTGACGTTAATTTTAGCGTATTAGTCTTTGATATTTTTTATTAATTATTTATTACTAGCTGTTCCCGTGCGGATTCATCCGCATGAAATTATAAGAATGTTAAAATTGCAAATGTCAAAATTACCATTACTATAATAACCTTGCTTCCTTAATGTTGGCAGCTTGTAGTTTATTGTCTTTTCCCACGTGAAGGTTTTATTCCAATTTAATTACCCCCTAAGTTTAATAGCGTGAAAATGTATAGCCTAAAGCGTGTCGTAAGTGTATTGTATGTATTTTGTATATATTGTATTTTGTATTTAAGGTAGATTTATTCCAAAAAGTGCTATGATTGCTGACATCTTATGCCACAAAGTAGTGTGTGTTTTCGCTTTATTATATTAATCCGCTATTATTTAAACTAAAATAACGTTTGTTGCTTCAGTGTATCTTTCTAGCATTTTGTTTACATTCATTTAAAAACTTACTGACATACTTGAACCTCTAATTCAATAATATTACGATAAAGTTGTTTTTAATAATAAATGAAATCATTCAGTCGTACTATTATTACAGGATGTTGAGTTAACAGTCATATTATTATAACATTTCCTGTCAATCATGTATTATGTTTCTCTTATAAAAACCTAATAATGGTAACCGTTCACAATATCTTTTATGTCTTAAACTAATAAGTCAATAACATTTTTTAATAAATGTGTATAATTTCCTTAATAAATTAAGGCTGGCAACGCACTTGCAATTCTGGCATTGATGACGTCTATGGCCTATGTTTCGATGTTCATTTGTCCTTTTATGTAAAGCTAAAGAATTTGCGTAACCGTTCGATTTGGAAACGTTTAATCAGACTGTATAACGTAAAACAATAGTCAAAGTTACATTGCATAAACGAAAACGGGTAAAGAATCAATTGCCTATTCAAAGACTACTGCAACTATTCAACTGTCAAACGTTAATAAACTTTACACTTAAGAATAACAGAGAACAATAATTCCCGAAACTAGTGTAACTCATACGGACGCTTTCGTAAGAAAATCCTTAAAATAAATTATTCCGCAGTATGGTACATTTGAAGTGGAAAAACAGTACAAAGGCGCATGTTTATATCCTTGCTTAAAGAAAGATGGCCGGAAAATACCGTAAAGGCTATTAAGTAACGATTTCTCTGCACATGTAGGAGAACATTCCTGTTTTATTTCAATGTAAAATAAGCTCTATTCTCTAAGCAATAAGATACATATGTTTCGAAATAATTTTTGAATGAGGGTAGTAACTGTACTGTCGTAAAAGCACCGTACTGTTTACGATCCTGCGAAGATAGTCGAAAGTTCCCGAAAGAAGTCGAATGATTAGAATTTAGCAAACACTAGGAAACTGCCTAACCTATAAATCGCTTAAATGTACGCTAACTAGAGTTTAATTGATGTTTTTCAGTTTTATTAGATTTCACTCGCGACACCGACCTCATGGAATTAAGAAACGAAATTAACTACCATTGTGTTGTTCCAGATTATGTTTTCCGTTTATGTCAAATTTCATCGAGATCCAATCAGCCTTTTACGTGGCATCCAACATCCATCTAAACAATCTCATTTCTATAGGGAGATAGAAAATAGAATATTAAACCAAGCAAGTAGTCTATAGAGTTAGTCATAGACAGTACAATTAAATATACTGGATCAATCAATCAAATTCAATATTCTACATGCCCGGTCTGTCTAGGAATCAATTGTAGCACAAACGGAATAACGAATTAGATCAAATTGAATATGGATTAGATTCAAGACCTAGTAACAAATGATCCATGTCCTGACTTTCGTATCAACATTTGCAATGTAGATACATTTACAGTTACAACATAAATAGAGCTGTGTACAGTCAGCTGCAAACATGTAACACAAACTATGATCTATATTTGTGCATTTCAACGAAATCCGTTCAGCCGGTCTTGATATACATATCAAACATACGTCAATCTAAACATTCGTATTTACATTAGTTTGATTTACAAAACATTCAGAAACCATATATTGATCACACTTATAATTAGTTTTTTGTAGCAAGACGCGGAGTTTGTCGCGTTACAATGAGCAATACAATTTTTCCTGAAGTCGAACAACGCGGAATTCCGCGATTGTACAACCGCCCAATGCAAAAAAGATACCTAACGTGTAGAAAAGTAAAGAAAAAATCCAAATCTAAGAAATTTATGCTGCAAGAAATATAAACTAGATATTTGAAAGTGGACCAATCGGATTATGTAACTCCGACGCGCACTTTCACAAACAGATCCTGTGAAATACACAAGAGTGCTACCTTCTGCTCCAGGATAACTGAGTTAGTGGTAACAAAGTCTTGGTTAATAATTACGATGTTTGCTCAGATTTCAATGCAATTCGATTTTACAAATCTATCCCAAAAACAACACTAAGTAAATAATAGAGTTCTTAAGCATTCTAGGTACAATTCACGTTATACATAACATTATTTTTCATAAAACTAAGTTGCAAATGTAAGAAAGAGAAATGAACTGAACAGAAAAGTTCCTTAATTCCGAAACAACTTTTAAATATTTTATTTCGATAACATTGCGATAATACCTTAATAGTAATAAGCTTCAACATAAAAATCCATAATAAGGCTCATTACCGTTTAAAGAAACAATGTTATAAGCCGACATACTCATAAATCTATAGCATAATACGTGAATTAACTGCGATTTATTGTGGCGACGTTTTAGCGGGACCGTTAACGAGGCCCGAAACGCGTGTGAGATCGTCACGATTCGGGAGAACTCGTCCGAGTTCGTCAAAACTCTTCCCCCGCAACCCCCGCTCGCAACCCCCGACGAAGCTGCGCGTCCAGGCATGCGCACAAACCGCTACATTTCAAATGGTATCAGAGTGGCGACCCGCCCGCCCGTATAACCGCGCCCTGTCTCATCTATCTCCGACTATATAACCAAATATAACTGTCGCAAAGGCCAATAAATGTCGAACGTCATAGTGTATTTACGATTTGTGAACTTGGAGTGATTACTGTGCTGTGCAGTGTACGAATTATGTGATTGTGTCAGAACTTTTGATGTGTTAAGTCAGGAGTTTCGTAATGGTGAGCATTTGAATTATTCTTTAAGATGTTTTAAAGTATATTAAACTAAATAAGTAAATATTTATAAATTAACACTATAACATGCCGCTATAAAATACTAAAGAAGAGACGAAAGATCAATAGATATTAAATAAAATAAAATTCGTAATTTTTTAAGGAAATAATACTCAAGATTCATTCAAAAAAACGTAAGTTAATTATAACTTTCTTGTCAAGATAATTTGGATTTTCTTAGCCTACATATTTTAGGTTATAACTCATCTACACCACATAAGAGTACAATTAAATCTGAAGATTAAGACGGTAAACTTTAATAACGTGCTTCAACATTTTATGCCGCAGTTTACAGTCGTCTCACCTCATGATAAGAATTATTCAATATAACTATTTATAGCTTTATGAACCGTCAATAAGAGATATTCATACATCAAATTGATTAAGCTATTTTTTTTATTTTGGTATTTTAATAGTTTAAATGTATAATTTTGTCCCTTCTTTTATAATAATTCCTTTAGCAATTAAGAAATTCACACAATAAAATTGTTTCGGCCATTAAATTATCTTCGTCATTTCTTAAAAGACAATACATCAACATGCGTCTTTCCCTTAAAGGAGCTGGTATAGCAAGAAACTTCAAAAATCATATATTCTTAATTCACTTCCATTTTTCACATAATCACTAGCAATTTTTATGTTTAGATAATCAATACTAATATTATAAAGAAGGAAGATTTGTATTTTACTTGTGATTTACAAAATCTTTAACTATTAAAAAGCTACGTGTTCAGTGAGTAACTTAGGTTATATTTTTTTTACACGAGGGTGAAGTCGCGAGCAACAGCCAGTGTGATTTTACAACTATATTCTAGTATTGGAGTAAATTGTAACGACTTGAAGGCGTATGTTTCAAGGATCCTTCGCAATTCGATATTAACTTAACCTAAATTTATCGTATTTCAATAGATTAGATTGAAGTTTTGTTGTTACAATGTTATATGACACGAATAACACATAGAGTTGATGAAATATCAAATCATCATCCACTTGTCCTTATCCCTTACGGGAGGTCGGCACAGTATGTGCTGCTCTTCCATACATCTCTATCAACCGTTGTATCAGAATTCACTCCTTTCTTAAGCATATCCTCTTTCCCACAATCCATCCATACTTTCTTCGGTCTTCCTCTACCTTTGTAGCCATCCACATTCAATCTCAACACTTTCTGGTTTATGTCCCCATCATTTCGTCGCATAATATGTCCATACCACGCTAACCTTTTGCTTCTCAATTTCTCCACTAAAAATAACTATGTACTAGTAGTATATACGAAATGAAAATCAGAGTAAACATGTTGAAGGAAATGATTGATTGGTTTCGCAATGATGGAGTGATGTTATGTATAAAGATATACGCAAAAGAATAACGTGACCTTAACAATACAACAGGAATAAAGGCCATTAAAGTTCCTACATATTCCGACCGTTATTTCAACCATTTATTACAACACAATGCGTGACCACATAATTCATTAACTTCATGCGCGATTAAATTTATATTCACATATACAAATTTTGGTACTAACTCCAAAATTGGATTTAGTAATCGCATTGTAATTAATGTTACAAATATAAATGTATTTATAATTTCCAAAGATATAATGAAATGCCGACTAACGATATAACGAATAAGGAATAATGAATGTAAACGATAAGTATTCCTTATTTGGTGAATCACGACCACCATAGATCACTTCAACTTTGAAAAAAACATCATCGTCAGTCCAAGGTTGTATTCTATTTGATGTGAATTCCTTCATTGATCGCTACAACTCTCACACTCCCGCAATCCTGAGTCCATCTTAAAACAAAACGCAATCAGCTCGAAAAAATTTAAAGTAAAATATCGTGGTTAAAATTCGAAGTAACGCATAACTAAAAGTGTCTGGGACGCCGTTTGCCCCATCAGAAATGTCTGCCTTCTTGCAGGGGATATTGTTATAGGCCCCCGAGTTTAATGCATAAAAATCAAGCATTAGAAAATAAAAATAAAATTTAGTCAAACTTTTGGCAACTCTAAATCGTCTGTCTTCTAAAATGGCGCACGGAAATTGTCTGCCAATATTTGTTTAGTAATTCTTACAGTGGTCTCCAACACATATGTGTTCAGCTTTCTGAAAATAAGGTGTGTTTTTTAGCAACTTCAGAGCGTGATAGCCCGTAACTGCCCCATTTGACAAGATAACTAATGGCCATTCAGTTACATAACAAACGAGTACTATCTAATCATATAACAGTAAAGTTTTAGAATTTAGATGTCGTCATCCTGGTCTGGGATCTCAATCTATACCGACAGTGTTGTCGGCAAACAGTGAATTGATAAGTCTAGGGAAAGCAGTAAATACTATTGTATTACAACCTTACTCTCGTGCATGTCTACCCTTTGCTTAAATAGACAGTATGATCTCGATTATGCCAACATTCACAGCTTCTCGAAAATACATCTTTAGTATCAATCTCTAGTTCCAAACTTTAAAATGCTACTTATTTAAAAAGGATTATCGGTTATTTGACCTTATTAACATTGAAATTGTAATGTAAAATAAGATAACGAAACTACAGTGAACTAATACATTTACTATACGTATTCATAACAATAGATATATACGAACGGAGTGGAATACTCGAGAGTTCCTAGTATCGCTAGAAGTAACACTGAATAAGCTACTCACAAATAAGTAAACTTGCCTTGCTTTGGCCATTGAATAAATAAAATGTTTATTCGAGTATCACTACCAGACAAAATCACTTGTTATTTTTATCGAATCCAAAAAGTCTAAATGTGTTTACATTTAAAGAGATAAGCCTATTGTGAGTGTTTATTGTAAATACGAAGAGATTTTCTATGATATCAGATGCTTTTATTGCTTTCTTTTCTTCGTTCGTTCTATTTAGGTTTGTTTAATATCTGTTAAATTAATCTAAACGTTAATGAATAGAACTTTAATTTATGGTTACAAGTAGATTCGTAATTATAGTTCTTGGAAATCTTGAAAATTAATTTCATCTTGCTTCGGATAAAAAATTAATTGATTTTGTAATACGTTCACGATGTTCCTAGTTTTGATTTTTTTATTAAATTGTTTTTAATATTCCAACGTACCGATTAAACCGTCGCAAATTGGTTTTTAATCGCGAACCAATACGCTCTCAAAATCATTTACTTTTAAACACTTTTCAACTGACATTAAAGCTCAAACGCCACGTCTCATTTAACACGACGAAAATATTTTCACTTCATAAAACGACTTTGGCCATTTGACGCCATCATTTTTGACGATCAATTTGACGCGGCCATTTGATGTTGCTTGCAGCTGCGCAAAGTGCTTACAGCGTTAGTTGAGCGGAGCTAAGTTTTAGTTCTACGTCGGATATTGCAGACCTTTTTAACGCACCACAACTGCGTAGTAATTTGATCATATAATTCGTATACTGATAGCATCAAAACGTCTTTGTTTTTTAATTCAGATTGATTATAATAGCTAATAGGTAATCACTAGTGAAACGCTAGTAGGAATTTTCAATCTCTTTAAATTTTTGTATTATCACTTTGCCGCTTCGATATTACACATTTGACGATGTCTCGTTAGGCATTCGCATACTGTTTTACGTTGTGGTAATTGTTACATCGCTCATATACATATTTTTCTTACATTCCCTTAAGCCATATCGGCGTGTGGATATTTTACGTGGTAATCCACGCACGCGTCACGGGCGGCATAAATCATCGCTCTACACCTCGTTACCCCACATACCCTATCAATCGATATTCGCCGGCACTCTGTTTTTATGAAATTACGAGTCCCCCTTTCTGACTTTACTACGTTATATGTAATATTCTCTCCCAGGTGACATGTCGACGAGGAAAATATGAACATTTTACTCAAAATGTCATGTCTGCTACGGGACCGGTGAATTTTGTTGCAACATTTCTTGTTTGTTTCTGTTTTCGGTTTGTACTTTGTAAAGTGTATTGATATTATGTTGCGAACGTACAACTTTGTTGGTAAATTGAAATATTATTTTGTAACAAGCTATGACATGCTTTCTCGCTTATATTGTATTCCATCCGTTTCTCTTTTGTTATCGAATGCATTTTCTTAACAAACAATCCGTAGTGGGCTAGAGTGGTTCACTATGACTCCAAACTCCCCAACATATGATGAGCTGATGATAATGATTTTTTTACATCTCTTCTATTCCTATGTCCCCAAAGTGGGGCAGAGGGCGTCCATAGTACGCCGCCAGCTCGCACTGTCCTGGGCTCTGCGTTATGTCTCGGACCATGACAGCCCGATTGCCTTCAAGTCGGCCGCCACTGAACGCCGCTTGATTTTTACATGCAATCATTTAATTAAAAAATCTCATTATTCTTACCTTTACTTGTTCAAATTGTTTACTTTTATCGTCCATAACATCATTCCTCACAGCAATTTAAGAACGCTAGGTCAATATAATAAAGTTTTTTTGTACACAAAAAACTGAATTTTAAAGCGTTGAAGTGGATACTACAATCTGAAATCATCTCGTCGCTACAAAAAGTGTAAAAAAGATATTCTGTTACTTCAGTGTTGTGAACACAATTTCTTTGTTGGTTATTGTTGTTGGCGTCAAAACGGTTTGCTTTCATGTTGGCGCTTTGTTATTTCTCAACACTGTTAGGCGTCCCCTAACAACTTCCAATATCAATTTGTCACATAACGGGAAGAATTTCGTGTTCTCTGTTATTGCATCTTCATTGTTTGTACGGCAACGACTAAATTGCTATTTCGAAAATGAAAGGTTCTTCAGTAATTATTTACACTGTTTAACAACGTAGTATGTGAATGATAAGGTTTGTTTACAAAATAAATTTTAAAATTCACAGTATTTTCATTTATTAAGTGGTCAGGTGAGCAAATTAACCGAAAGTTGAAATATATTGGCCAAACAACGAGGTATCAG